GTGTTAGCCAGGATGGTCTCGATCTCCTGACCTCGTGATCCACCCGCCTCGGCCTCCCAAAGTGCTGGGATTACAGGCGTGAGCCACCGCGCCCGGCCGTGTCCTGAGTCTTTAAAACTCTGAGCTGGGATATAATTCAGGGATAATTTCTTTACAAATTCTGTCCTTAATGTGAATTTTTTTCCCTGGCAGGTATCCCTTGTATAACTGACTGTGTAATGGCTGAAATTGAGAAATTGGGGCAGAAGTATCGAGTGGCTCTAAGGTAGGAAGGAGGTAGACTAGATCTGTTCTAGATTAGTATACTGAAGATTCATCTGTTTGCTGTTTAAAGATTTCTTGGCCAGTTAGTTTAAATGAAAATCGTGTAAAACTATCATTTTTGGGGAAGTTGTTTTGGTCTTTCTGTCACACAAAAATCAGTTCCAGTTGGAGTAAGTATCTAAACTTTTAATAGAAAATACAGAGAATATCTTGGCCATGTTCAGTGGCCTGTAATCCCAGTACTTTGGGAGGCCGAGGCAGGCGGATCACCTGAGGTCAGGAGTTTGAGACCAGCCTGACCAACATGGAGAAACCCTATCTCTTCTAAAAATACAAAATTAGTCGGTCGTGGTGGCGGGTGCCTGTAATCCCAGCTACTGGGGAGGCTGAAGCAGGAGAATCGCTTGAACCCAGTAGGCGGAGGTTGCATGAGCCTAGATTGTGTCATTGCACTCCAGCCTGGGCAACAAGAGCAAAACTGTCTCAAAAAAAAAAACAGAAAAAAAAGAGTATCTTAATGAAATTGAATATTTGTGTATAGCAAAACTTATCATTAACAAAGTAAACAGACATACATAATCAACAAAGGGCTTATTTTCAAAATGCATAAAGAACTTCACATCCATAAGAAAAACACAATTCTTAAATTTACAATGAGTTGTCATTTAATGCCCATTAGATTGGCAAAAATTTTTTAATGAGCTTGACAATGCCAAGAATAGTTAAGGCCGTGAAGCAATGGAAATTCTCATACTTAACTACTAAGGGTATAATAAATTGGTCATCACTTTGGAGAGCAATTTGACAATATCTGGTAAAATCCAGGTTGTTCATACTCTTAACAACACAGTCTTTTAACCTGGAGATCACAGTCTGTAGGTAATTATATCAGTTTAAAGGATCACGATGCATGGTGGGTTTGGGGGTTTTTTTGTGTTTGTTTTGTTTTGTTTTTGTTTTGTTTTTGAAGCAAAGTATTGCTCTGTCACCCAGGCTGGAGTGCAGTGGCACAATCAGGGCTCACTGCAGCCTTGACCTCCTGGGCTTAAGCAGTCGTCCTGCCTCAGCACCCTCAAGTAGCTGGGACTACTTATGCAACACCTTACATGGCCAGTTTTTTAAAATTTCAGTAGAGACGAGGTCTCACCATGTTGCCCAGACTAGTCTTGAAGTTGTGGGCTCAAGTGATCCTCCCACCTTGGCCTCTCAAAGTGCTGGGATTATAGGCATAAGCCACCACGCCCGACCCCTGAGTATATTTTTTAGTGTAATAGAAGAAACTATAGGCTGGGCATGGTGGCTCATGACTGTAATCCCAACACCTTGGGAGGCTGAGGCAAACAGATTGTTTGAGCCCAGGATTTCCAGTCCAGCCTGGGCATCATGGTGAAACCCTGTCTCTACAAAAAGTAAAAAAATTAACCAGGCGTGGTGGCACACACCTGTAGTCTCAGCTACTCGGGAGGCTGAGGTGGGAAGATTGCTTGAGCCCAGGAGGCAGAGGTAGCAGTGAGCTGAGATGGTACCACTGCACTTTAGCCTGAGTGATAGAGTGAGACTCTGTCTCAAAAAAAAAAAAAAAGAAAGAAATTATAAAATATTAGTATGAATATGTAGAAAAAATTGGGTACTACCTCACAAAAGTTTTTTTGCTGTTATATGTGTGTATATGTGTATGTGTGCATACTGTATGCTAGATAAAATCTAATGCTATGGGTTCTGGTAAAAAAAGAAAAGAAAAGAAAAAAAGATTGCTATAGAGAAGTTCACCTACTATTGGAGTCAAATATTGGCATCTTTTTATGTATGTAATAGCAAAAAATTGCAGGCAGCCAAAAGAAATGACTTTTCTTAAGCCATTAAGAAAATAAAGGATGGCCAGGCATGGTGGCTCATGCCTGTAATCCCAGCACTTTGGGAGGCCGAGGCAGGCAGATCATTTGAGATCAGGAGTGATCCTGAACTTGGTGAAACCCTATCTCTACTAAAATACAAAAATTAGCCAGGCATGGTGGCGGGCGCCTGTAATCCCAGCTACTCTGGAGGCTGAGGCAGGAGAATCATTTGAACCCAGGAGGCGGAGGTTTCAGTGAGCCAAGGTCGTGCCACTGTACTCCAGCCTGGGCTACAGAGCAAGACTCTGTCTCAAAAAAAAAAAAAAATAGGACTGGGTACAGAGGCTGATGTATAATCCCAACACTTTGTGAGGCCAAGTAGGGAGGATTGGTTGAGCCCAGGAGTTTAAGACCAGCCTGGCCAACATAATGAGACCCTGGCTCTACAAATTTTAAAAAATTAGCCAGGCGTGGTGGCATATGCCTGTAGTCATAGCTACTGTGGCGGTTGAGCCAAGAGAATTGCTTGAGCCCAGGAGTTCGAGGTTGCAGTGAGCTATGATCACACCACTCCACTCCAGCCCCAAAAACAAAGTGAGACCTTGTCTCTTTAAAAAAGAAAGAAAAGAATAGGTAAGCTGTGGAATGCTTGTTAATAAAATACTATACAAGAGTGAAGATGAGTGAACTAGAGTTATGTGTCAGTATGGATAAATCTCAAAAACAATATAAAATATATTAAAAAAAGCAGCAGTCAGGCACTGTGGCTCACTCCTGTAATCCCAGCAGTATTGGGAGCCCGAAGCGGGAGGATTCTTTGAGCCCAGGAATTTGAGACCAGCCTGGGCAACATAGTGAGACCCAATGTCTATGAAACATTTTCAAATTAGCTAGGCATGGTGGCAGGTACTTGTATTCCTAGCTACTTGGGAGGCTGAGGTAAAAGGATTGTTTGAGCCAGGGAGGTTTGAGATCATACCACTGCACTCTAGCCTGGGAGACAGCGAGACCCTGTCTTAAAAAAAAGAAAAAGAGCAATGCTGAGCACTGTTACACACACCTCTAGTTCCAGTTACTTGGGAAGCTGAGGCAGAAGGATCACCTGAGCCTAGGAGTTTCAAGCCAGCCTAGACAACAAGACTGCAGTCTCTTAAAAAAATTAAAAAAAAATTTAAAAAAGGCAAGAACATATGTGGAGTACACCATTTATCTAAAGTCTAAAAACATGCAAACCAGTTCTGCATTGTTTATAGATATGTGTATATGCTTTTTTTTTTTTTTTTTTTTTTAAACACATTCTCACTCTCTCACCCAGGCTGGAGTGCAGTGATGCTATCACACAGCTCACTACAGCCTTAACCTCTCTGGCTCAAGTGATCCTCCTGCTTCGGCCTCCCAAGTAGCTGGGACTACAGGTGCATACCACTATGCATGTCTGAATTTTTTTTTTTCCTTTTGCATGGCTAATTTTTTAAAAATTTGCTTGGTAGAGGCCGGGCATGGTGGTTCATGCCTGTAATCCTGGCACTTAGGAAGGCTGTGGTGGGCGGATCACCTGAGACTAGGAGTTCAAGACCAGCCTGACCAATGTGGTGAAACCTCATCTCTGCTAAAAACACAAAAATTAGCTGGGCATAGTGGCAGGCACCTATAATCCCAGCTACTAGGGATGCTGAGGCAGGAGAATTGCTTGAGCCTAGGAGGCAGAGGCTGCAGTGAGCCAAGATCATGCCACTGCACTCCAGCCTAGGCAACAGACCAAGACTCCATCTCAAAAAGGCTGGACATGGTGGCGCACGCCTGTAATCCCAGCACTTTGGGAGGCTGAGGTAGGCAGATCATCTGAGGTCGGGAGTTCCAGACCAGCTTGGCTAACATGCCCATAATCCCAGCTACTCAGGAGGCTGAAGCAGGAGAATCGCTTGAACCTGGGAGGCAGAGGTTGCAGTGAGCTAGGATCGTGCCACTGCACTCCAGTCTGGGTGACAGAGTGAGACTCCATCTCTGGGAAAAAAAAATTTTTTTTGGTAGAGATAGGGTCTCACTATGTTGCCCAGCTGGTCTCAAACTCCTGGTCTCAAGTGATCTTCTTGCTTTGGCCTCCCAGAGTGCTGGGATTATAGTCATGATCCTCCACACCCAGCCTGGCAATTTTTAAAACAATAAAAACAAGGAATGAGAGGGGAGAAAATAGAGGCACCAAGTGGAAACACTAAGTTTGGCTGTCAAGAGATGCAGAAATGGGGTGTTAGCTGGAGGGGGGTATAGGTAAAAAGATTATTTTTCTTTTTTTAAGACAGAGAATATACGACAGCATGTTAGTGTGTTTCTGGGAAAGAGCTAGTAGAGAGGAGATAAGTGATTTCAGGAGTAAAGAGATAACCGAAAGAGCATAGTCTAGACTGTTGCCCACCTAGTTTGTCAGCAACCAGTCCATCCTCCCTCTAGCATATCCTCCCCAGCACAGCCTGCTTAGTTTTCCAAGACAGAGCTTTGTTCTTACCACTTTGTCCCCCAGAAATCTTTAATGACTCCTCGTTACCTGTGTCATCACACTTCTCAGCCTAGCACTGGAGACTTTCTAGTCCCATTTCATTCTTCTCTCCACAAACACTCTTCCCCCAGCCAGAAAGATGTGTTTACTCTTCCCCAAATACCAAGAAACCATTTTACAGTTGTCTGGTGTCCTATTTGGTACCCTCACATTGCTTGGCACATTCTTTAATCTTGTTTCACCCCTATGTCATTTTTTTCTAAATATTCCCAACCCACATTGACCTAGCACTGAACTACTGCAATACGGAGGAGTATTTGTGTTGTACTTGATACATATGTGCTGTCTTGTATTTTTCTTCATTTTGGTGACTCATCATCATTGTTAATAGAAAGAGCATGGCTCTCAGAGTCACACAGAGTTGGGGTTTTTCTTTTTCAAATATGTATGGAAATAATACATGTTTGAATGATTTATGGCAAACAATATAAGCATATACATATAGTAAAAGGTAAAAGTCTGCCTCTACCTTCATACTTTGTCCATTCTAATACTCCAAGAGTGACAACTGAGAAAGGTTAATATATTTTGTCAGACCTTTTTCTGTGCAAATGCAAATCTAGATAAAGAGTATTGGAAAGAAGGATTTGTATTTTATTAATTAAATTATATATATATATATATATATATATATATGCGCATGCATATGCCCTGCTTTGTTTATTCAACAATTTAGCATAGGTCCTTCCACATTGGTACGTACAGCTGTACCTCATTTTTTTTTTAATAGGATAAGGGCACCAAAATATGTTTAACTTTTACCTTTCTAATGGATATTTTGATTTTTTCACTTACTGTAAACTGCTGAGGGATCATCCTTGTGCCTATATTCTTGTTCATTTGTGTGTAAGACAGCTTCTTAAAAGTGTAATGGTTAGGTTAAAATGGGTTTTGTTTTTGAATCCTGGCTTTTCCCAGCTGTATAGCTTTGAATAAAGTAATTTAATCTCTCTAAGCCTGCTTCCTCGTCTGTAGAATAGATATATAATAACTCAGAATTTTGTGATGATTAAATGATCGAAAGCACACCAGCTGTCAGGCAGGAAGCCTTCATTCCCTGTCCCGTGAATTGTCTTTCCAGTGAGAGGATAAAGTTCAGGAGAGTAGTGCCTTAAAATCTCTGCGTAGATCATGTTACTTTTATTGCACTGATTAAAACTCAGAAAGTTATCCAGTTGATTGAACGTTTTCTTTAATCCACCTACAGGATCGCCAAGGATCCAAGATTTGAACGATTACCATGTACACACAAAGGGACTTATGCAGATGACTGCTTAGTACAGAGAGTAACTCAGGTATTATCAGTTCATAACTGTTTACTTTGTGCTTTAAAAAAACAATGTAAACTATTGTCTCCTGAATGTTCATGGTCAGTAAAGCATCTAGGAATATACATTGTGGTTTTAAAAAAAAATGGCATAGCATTCCTTCATAAAAAGCATAGGTGTCTTCATTTACTTGAGAAAGTGGATTGAAAATGTATACTCTAACCATAATGGAAAGAGCACAGGCTTGGGGAGGAGACACGGGTTTCACATCTCAGCACCTGCATTTACAGGCTATGTGATTTGGAACATTTAACTGATTCTTTATCTCACAAATCTCTGTAAAATGATTTTAAGTGAGTTAATGTGGAACCCATTTACTTTTGATGTAGGAATTTTGTTTCCCTTCATGATGCCTAATCCAAAAGTGCTTCTTAGTTATGTCTGAGAGTCTCCCAAGGTGCTATTTCACACATACCCTAGAATAAGTAGGTTTTTAATTCCTTCATTAAGCACCACAAGGACTTCTGCTACTGAGTGCTTTTATAAGGGCCTCTCTTTGCTGATGATAATCTTCATCTGCTGACCACAGAGCCATCCCTTTAGTCACTTCAACCCATAGGTGGGGCCAGTATTTCCCACAGCACAGCTGACACCACTCTGCCACTTTATATAAAACTCAGTAGGAGAGTCAGACATGACAGAAATGAAGCTTCCTACAAAATAGCTTTCACCTGACAGCTAAATGTTACTGCTTTTATAACCGCTAGGCTCTAGTTTCAGGCCCTGAAAATCCTATTTAGGCTTCCTGTTTCGGGGGTAGCCTACCTCTAACATCAGTAGGCCCAGAGCACACCCAAGCCCCAAGATCTAGGGAAAGGAGGGAGCTATGGCCTCCAAATTAAGGCACTTTTTATCTCCATGGAGTTCCTCGGAGGATTTTTCCCAAAACTAAAGAATTGTCTGCCCCAAGCGTGAAAGTCCCTTTCATTTATGAGCAGAAAACAGTTTGCAGCTTGTGAATGCTTTTCAACCTTCTCCTCCTCAAGATTCTTAATGCTGCATTCAGCCCAGGCAACTTGTTTATTTTATATAACAAGATTAAGAGCTCCTAGATCATAGTAGCTACTCAACAAATTGTTACAGCCTGCCCTTCGCTACTTACTGTGAAAATGAACTATTCTTAGATTAGTCAGTGGTTGTGCCATTATCCAGTAGTCACTAAGCGTGCTCAATGACCTCAGTGTGAACATCACTCCATGTCTCTTACAGCATAAGTGTTACATTGTGGCCACAGTTGACCGGGACCTTAAAAGAAGAATCCGTAAGATTCCTGGAGTTCCTATCATGTACATTTCTAACCACAGGTGAGAGATTTCTCTTGGGGAAGGGAATAGAAATATATAATTGATATCAATTGAAAATGAGGACAAGTGATAAGGTTATAAAGGATTTGAAAGAAATTGTTGTGTCAAATGTTTACATAGTTATATTTGAAAAAATGAGACAAAGCAAGAGCTAGGGCAAAAGAGAGAGGATTTAAGGAATGAGGCAAACATTTAAATTGTTAGAATAAGATTACTGGAAGAAATAGATGTATTGTTTTAAACAAAAGCAGTAATTTAAATCAAGCTAATCTTTTTGGCCAGAAATGCCTATTTTGAAAGATTTTTTTTTAATTAACACCTCATCTGAGAAATGGAAAGCTTATTTTAAAAAAAAAAAAAAGCTATTATCCTTCTTGGCTATTTTATGTCAGTCCTGAGACTTATTTTCCAGCTTTTCAACTTGGGGAGAGCACAATGTGGTAGGAAATCTATGGACTAAGAAGTTGGACTTACTGATCTCAGATCCTCGGTTCCCCTCTTGCTGACTTGTGTGACTTTGAAAAAACAATCATCTTGTATTATAGTCAGCATTTTGCTGTGAATCATTCATTATGATGCTCCCCTAAATTGTTCCCACTGACAAAAAGGATTCAGAGCGGGGGTGAGAGTATTGCAGTCTGTAAAGGATGGGTTTTTAGATGGGTTCTCTTCCCATCTTTCTTACCAGTGTTAATTTTTTGTCCTGGTCAGATACAACATTGAACGGATGCCAGATGATTATGGAGCCCCTCGATTCTAATTCTTATAAGACACAATTCCTCTACCTTTCTTCAACCAGCTTTCTCTTGTTGCCAGTTCATTACACGAAATGTAGTGGGATTTTTAAGGAATCAGAGAGACCGATGGAGTTCAGGAAGATATTTATTATTTAGGTGCACTGGACCAGTTGGATTAACATCCAAAGGACTGAGCCCTGAACAAAGAGTTAAGTTACCTTTTAAGCATTTTGTGGGGCGGCGGGGCGGGATCTGTGCAGGGGGAAGCATATTATAGAAGTGAGAAAGACAATTAATTGAGACATGCATTACATCATTTCTTTCTTTTCAAGGAAAAACATGTTTTATGACTTGAGTTTATCTGTCTAGTTACCTTGCAGCTGCACAGCTAGAGAAACGGTATTTACAATGCCTGGGAAAGGAGGAGAGCTAAGGCTCACTAGCCACAGAAAATAGGCAGTTAATTTTTAAAGGACTCCAGCTCTTTCTCTTTCTCTCAGGGATTTGGGTTCTCTTACATACAACTGAGTTTCTGCTTACACATTTTTAAATTTCTTTTAATTCCTTTTCCAGTGCAATAGCATGAATTATTATTCTGTTGACCTATTTGCCCTGTTATGAGCTGAGGGTAGTTAGATATGCTCACTCTTTTTTTTTTTTTTTTTTTTTTTCTTGAGACGAAGTTTTGCTCTGTCACCAGGCTGGAGTGCAGTGGCGCGATCTGGGCTCACTGCAACCCCTGCCTCCCAGGTTCAATTGATTCTCCTGCCTCAGCCTCCTGAGTAGCTGGGATTACAAGTACATGCCACCATGCCCAACTAATTTTTTTTTTTTATTAGAGACAAATACTTTCGTATTTTCAATATAGAAAAATATGCCTCGGCCTCCCAAAGTGCTGGAATTACAGGCGTGAGCCACCGTGCCTGGTGTGCACACTTTCTGTTGCTGCTTTTTTGTTGTTTGTTTGTATGTTTGTTTGTTTTGAGACGGAGTCTCGCTCTGTCACCAGGCTGGAGTGCAGTGGCGTGATCTCAGCTCACCGCAACCTCCGCCTCCCAGGTTCAAGCGATTCTCATGCCTCAGCCTGTGGAGTAGCTGGGACTACAGGTGCACGCCACCATGCCCAGCTAATTTTTGTATTTTTAGTAGAGACAGGGTTTCACCATGTGGGCCAGGATGGTCTTGGTCTCTTGACCTCATGATCCGTCCACCTCAGCCTCCCAAAGTGCTGGGATTACAGGCATGAGCCACTGTGCCTGGTCACTGATGCTGTTCTGAAATTGATATTTTGTCTCATAAAAATTAGGCCAGGCACGGTGGCTCACACCTGTAATCCCAGCACTTTGGGAGGCCAAGGTGGGTGGATCACCTGAGGTCAGGAGTTCGAGACCAGCCTGGACAACATGGCAAAACCCCATCTCTACTAAAACTACAAAAAAATTAGCTGGGTGTGGTGTCACGTGCCTATAATCCCAGCTACTGGGGAGGCCGAGGCAGGAGAACCTCTTGAACCCAGGAGGCGGAGGTTGCAGTGAGCTGAGATTGCACCACTGCATTCCAGCCTGGGTGACAGAGTGAGACTGTCTCAAAAAAAAATTAATGCTGGTCAAAGGGTATAAAATCTCAGACAAGAAGAATATGTTTCATACTTTTTTTGAGTTCTGTTGTACAGTGTGGCACATTATACTTAATGGAGCATTATACATTTCAAAATTGATATTCTCATCACAGAAATGTATTTGAAGTATTGGATATGTTAACTAGCTTGATTTAACTATTCCATATTCTATCCACAATTTACGACATCACTTTGTAACTCATAAATTTGTACAATTATAAACTGTCAATTTACAATAAAAAAATTTTGTTGCATCTTTTTAGAAATCAGATATTCTGATGATTGCTCACATAATTTGATGGTCATTGTTTTATACTGACTTACTCAATAAACATTTATTAAATGTATACTAGGTGCTTAATAAGATATGGTCCTGCCCTCAAGACACTCATTATGGTGGGAGAGAAAAACATGTAAATGAATAAATACCGTAAAATAGCAGTGTTAGGGTAAAAGTTTCAGAAGCATGTCATGGGCACATAAAGGTGGAATGATTTTTTTCTACTGGTTGGGATGGGGAGGGAGGAAAGGCCAGTGGTCATGTGGTTTGAGCTAGTCTTGAAAATGAATAGGTGCTTCTCCAATAAATTAGGAATAGAAGATGAAGCATAGGAAACAATATGAACAAAAGCAAGGACGTACAGTGTTACTCAGAGTGAATGTGCTTGGCCTGTTCAGATAGCTACCAGAAGGTTTTTATGACTAGAATATAGGGAATCTCATCAGGGAAGGGTTCTGTACCCACATGAGACTCCAGAGGAAGGAGGGGGTCTTACATGACATGCCAAAGGGTCTGGACTTAATCCATAGGTCAATAGGGTGCTATTGGCCGGGCATGGTGGCTCATGCCTATAATCGTAGCACTTTGGGAGGCCGGGGTGGGCGGATCACCTGAGGTCAGAAGTTAGAGACCAGCCTGGCCAACATGGTGAAACCTCGTCTCAATTAAAAATACAAAAATTAGCCGGGCATGGTGGCAGAAACCTGTAATCCCAGCTACTTGGAAGGCTGAGACAGGAGAATCGCTTGAACCTGGGAGGCGGAGGTTGCGGTGAGCCGAGACCACGCCATTGCACTCCAGCCTGGGCAACCAGAGTGAAATTCCGTCTCAAAATAAATAAATAAATAAATGAGGTGCTATTAAAATTTCAAGCAGAATGGATAACATGATCAGATTGGGGGGGGGTGTGTTGTTTTTTCTTTTTTAGGGACAGGATCTGTCTCTGTTGCCCAGGTTGGAGTGCAGTGATGGAATCACAGCTCACTGCAGCCTCAATCTCCTGGGCTCAAGTCATCCTCCTGCCACACTCTGGAGTAGCTAGGACTATAGGCATGTGCCACTACTCCCAGCTAATTATTTTATATTTTTGTAGAGACAGGGTTTCACCCTATGTTGCCCAGGCTGGTCTCGAACTCCTGGGCTCAAGCTATCCTCCTGCCTCGGCCTCCCAGAATGCTGGGATTGCAGGCGTGAGCCACTTTAGATTAATCTGCAGCCCAGATTAGATTTTTTAAATGATCACAGGTAGTGTAAGAATAAACAAATAGTTGGGCGCGGTGCCTCATGCCTGTAATCCCAGCACTTTGGGAGGCTGAGGCAGGCAGCTGAGGTCGGGAGTTGGAGACCAGCGTGACCAACATGAAGAAACCCCATCTCTACTAAAAGTACAAAATTAGCCGGGTGTGGTGGCACATGCCTGTAATCCCAGCTACTCAGGAGGCTGAGGCAGGAGAATTTCTTGAACCTATGAGGCAGAGGTTGTGGTGAGCCGAGATCACACCATTACACTCCAGCCTGGGTAACGACAGTGAAACTGTCTCAAAAATAAAAAATAAATAGAATAAACAAATAGATCATTGAAACAACACAGAAAATCCATTAGCAAACCTATATATAATCCCAGCACTGGCTGGGCGCTGTGGCTGAAGCCTGTAATCCCAGCACTTTGGGAGGCC